AGCCAATGAAAGATTGAAACCCGGGGGATCAAGGCAAAATATTATCACCCATAGTCTCATCCAAATGTTAGTTTGTTGAATTGACCGGACAGGCAATGCGAAGTTATGGCAATGAGTGAAGGTTACTCATGTTTATCTACCGACATTATACATTCTCGAGGATACTCTTTTCATGTTAACCGCTAGGAGATGTGTCACCAAGTTGGATCTACTCAAGGCTAACTTTCAAACTGAAATTCCCGCGGATTCGTGTCAGATACCTGCTTTCAATACCTATCGTAGACTGTTACGGTGTGTTAGCTTGCCTTATGGTGTGAAGACTGACGTTTGGTGTGTTTCAACAATCGTTAATGAATGTCGCAGTTTCTGATCTTCCCGCTACCGGACGATGCTATGGTCACCATCATCAGGGATTGCTCTTACGACGAATTGCATCGTAACTGTCCTCCTTCAAGAGTGCGGGATCCCCTTGCTTCTCGACAAATACCAATTTGTCTTACCGTTCACTAAATATTTTGGTTTCATTTTAGGTGAATGTTGGGAATAGCCATTTGGGTTCTTCACCGGTAGCAGGCACCTTTGAGGATCTTGGGTGTGGATTTTACCCCTTGGGAGATCTTTAATTCCCCACGAGATTAATACATTTAAAGGCAATGGAAATGTTTGTAATGACCAACAATGAGCGCCGGACAGCTGCTTCGTCCTGTTGGGGACTCGTCAATAGTGCGTACGTTTTGAGTCCCTGTCAAGACTCGAATCGCGAACCTTCGGGTGGGGGCTTCAAACCATTACTCCTGAGTTACACGGTTGACGATCATCGCCTTGTGTGACTGGCCCAATCTAGTTAGACGGTGAATGTAAGGATTAGCCAATTCGGTTTTTCACAAGCGCCAGTACTGTTGATTATCTGACGAGTCCCAAACAGGACGAAACAGCTGTCCAGAGCTCTTTGTCGGTCATCACAAAGATTTCCATTGCATTTTGGTTTCATCTTTACCGTAAATGGCCACAAACGCGGCTCTGAAAATGACCTTGGTGATGATGGCTGATGAGGGCGCATCACTGTATGCTACACTGGAACATTCGTCGAGCTTCAACCTATTGTAAAGCGATACTTCGAATCGTGGAGCCAGCTGACACATGCAACTGAGCACATACTGCGCTAAATTGAGGCAATAGTCATGAAAAGTCAGTATTCTGTTGACGACATTTTAAACTGCAATGGAACGGCAATGGAACATCAAATAGAGTGCGGTTAAAAGACAGTAAATCGAAGCTTGAAAGTCTAACACTTATGGTTTTGAAACTAAAGACCTAATGACATCATATAACCAACAATACCGCAACTAATCCGTTTTTCAACCATTTACTCATCTACGGTTTTGCTCGTGATCATTCAGCCTTCACGTATGGTTCTCCTATCTTTGTTAATCATCCAATAGCCTTATTCTGAGGGTTTTGACCTCATCAACATAAGAGAGGGGGGCGCTACCCACACCTATATCGTACTTATATCGGACCTGAAAGGCCGTTTTCCCTTTTTGTAATCACAACAATCCAGACATGCACGGTGGTCAAAACCTGTCTTTCGGAAAGATTATACTGCAGAACAAGTTTAGGTTGGAAGTTCAGTCAATGAGTCTCTGTGTGTATGTCTAAAACTTTGCATGCACCCGGAACAGAGAGCAACTGAATTATTGATGCAGTCTATCATTAATTCGAGCGCTCACGGCCAGGGCAGAGAGGATAAGAATGTTGGCCGTTCCGAACTAGAATTCACTTACCAAACATTTTAAGTCTCACTGTTTCTGAGTGAACCGTACGGGACTTGTAGATACATGTGACGACCACATCGTCGTAAACGTCTTCAACCACGTACGCAATTGTTTGTCCGGTAACAGAGCGTTCCAGTCTTTCGCCGTGTTTCACTTGCATTTCAAATTGAGATACTGACGGGTTCATGTGTTCACTGACGCATCGAAAGGCCAATCGTTCACCCACACACGTTGCAGTTCGAATCGGTGAGATATGCAACTCAACTGGAATAAAACCGTTACTTTTGATTGGAAAGCGGAGACAAATGCTTGAAACCCAGGAAAATNAACGACTGCTAACGTTCGTACAACTACTATTAGTATTATTAATATTAATACTACACAATATCATTATCATTGATTGGTGTGAGCGGCGTTTGTACAATCGAATAAAGGACAAAACAAGAAGCTTATCGATTCTATGAGTCCCTGTCCATGTGAACTGAGAGTAGCAGTGCTAATTGGATGAGTAGAGGGTGGTCACGTATTGACTAGTGAGTGATAGCTGAATTGTGTTGACACGACAGAAAAGCAGCAACAATGTGTTATTCCACAGAATAGAATAATTAGGTTCTGCCCAGTTGACACTTGGTTGAATTTCATGCTGTTTGTCTACCACCATTTTTCGAAGGATGGGTGAGCTAGTGACCAACCACTCTTAAAGACCATATCAGTTCGCCAACCCCCTTTGTACGAAAAGGATTGAATCTCAGAAAAACTCAGATCACTGTTATCCGGTGGGATTGAGGAGAATCCGATGGCTGCATGCGGCCTTCGGTGTCTCGGTGGTCGACGATGCTAACCTATAAAAGGACGTTTAGTCATATGATTCCGTTAAAATTACTTACAGCTACAACGAAATGTTGATCACATACTGCTCGTGAATATAGAATTCAGCCCACGGTATTCGTCTAAACAAGCGTTCGTATCACCGGGGAGTGGTTGGGGAGTAAATACGTTCACATTGAGAAAAATCCAGCAGCAAAAACCCCATGCTGCTTCAATCGAAGTAGCTCAATGCAAATTCGAACAGTGCACATAAATCGAGACTGATGGTCGAGTAAAGATGCTTGAACGAAAAGGATGGGTTGTGTCATTTAAGCAACCGAACAAAGGCCCTAAATTAGCTGTAACTTATGGATGCTGTTGCTTACCTATTTGCTTATAAGGCTGCAATTAGGTGTGTTGAACCAAACCTGAGCTTCATTGCTACAGTCCATTTGTAGTTTTTTCTCTTTGCACTAGAGTTTACTAACTTCTGATCACCAAAATCAAGAAGATAGAGTGCAGTGGATCGCGCGGTCAAATTCTGACATCATTTTTTTCTACACAATATATCTACATGTTAACATTGACACTGCAGTATCGACGCACGTTGTTATTTGTTTTGCATCCTATGGTCTGAGGTTTAAACCCTTTCACCGTCATCCAACTTTGGCGGTAGACAGTTTTGCTGTTGGCCGTATCAAGACCACAACCGACCTTACGTATCCTTATGTGGTTCGTCACTCCAAGTCTCGGGGCTTAGGTGCCGGCTTCCATCGCTGAGCCGCAGGTCTTCGTGAATATGGTATCCATCTCATCTGATGTTCATAACACTAAATGTGTGTAATAAGAAAACAGTTTGCATGTACTATTAATTACGTGCTTCATCATTCATACATCACTGCGTTCGTCGGTTTTGACCATCTAAGTGCTTTAGCACTTAAATACACCAACTCATATCTGTGCATTCTCCTCGCCAAAGTATCTCATTGCACTCCTCTTACAACCGTGAGTCTCTTAGTTCCATCCGATCGTTATGTGGTTGTGTGCGAGTTACGGGATCCGTTGAGAAGTTCGCCATTACTGGGCGTAGCCAACTTACATCGAAGACATCGTCATGGGGCTAACAATAGTTACCCGAAGAGAATAATAATATATAATATGCAGGGCAACAATGTGCACTTATCAGAACGAAACAAATCTCATTCATTTCCGGGTTGACCTTCTTATAGTCTGGCAAGTGATTAAATAAATAACACTTGGTTGGAGCGGAAAAACAACTTCCCTTTAGGAGCTGCAGCTTGTTCTTGGTTTAACAGGACCGCGTCTAACGAAGTAAATTTTGTGGCTTGAAAAACGTTGCAATCTTTCCATATGCTTCCTACTGTGAACTATAACTTAATCTGGTATCAGAAACGGTTTCGATAAGCTCGTTTCTCATTATTTTGTCGCTTGTTTTCGAGAGACGTGACGTACAAATCATAAAAGCGTTCTTCAAACGATTGATTGGATGTCCGCTGCCACCAACTAATAAATACACACGCACACACTCACGCTGATTTTAGTCTAAAATCGATCCGCCTTAGTCAATTAAATTTCAGTCTTAAACTGCCCGCTATGGTTGATTTCTTGCTTGTCTAACTGCCCGGCTCGATCGCACTCCGTGTAGTTGCAATATCCGCAAATGCACTTGGCCTACCTGCTGGCTTACATACGTGTCCACGGCTGTGCCCCTGTGCTTCCGATGGCGATTGCTGTTGAGTGAGAGTGTTGATTCTTTTTCTCAGAATCATTTTGCGTTCTTTCGTCTCATTGCCCACTCTATCGCTTCTTACTTGTCCCGTTGATATTCATTTTAATAATTTGAGCTGACTATCCTTCGGACTTCACCTTCACGCACACGCCTTCCATGCGATCGATCCGGGGTTCAAATCCCGGATAGGACGGTGGATATGCACTACTGATGAGCTCTAATAAGAGCGAAACTCGAGTCTAGTGCTCATGACCGTGAGAACCTGTTAGAAATTTTCACCAGGCATATTACCGCAAGGACAATAAAACACAAGTTTTAACGAATATGTGAAGATGCCAATTAATTCAAATCCTGTTTAATTTGCTCCTGAAAAACCTAGATGCGTTTCACAGAAGATTCCGTTTTTCAAAGTCTTACAACTATATGAGATAAAAGTTGTTGATTCCATCTATCATTGCAAAGAAGCATACATCAGTAGAACCGAAACTGTGTGCTGGGCACAAAAGCAATCAGCACATTACCACAAAGCGTCAGAAGGCTGGTAACATGTTTGTTCAAGTTTATTACTAGTGAACTTGTTGAACTGAATTGCTGGACACGAAACAACAACAACAACAACAGCAACAAAAACAATAACAATAATGGCAGCCTGATAACCATTGATTGTGGACGGTAAACGAATGCAATCAAATTCACTAGATTTCGTGTGCACATGTTGGCGGAAAGTCAGACGAGGAAACGTCTGCTGTCAAGTGAAACGGGAGACAACTACGAGTGAGAGGAATTCATTTCATGGTGAAATCAAACCTTTGGTATTCAATCGGATACAGGTATGAGGTACTGAATAGTGTGGTGTCCTTTGCTGTCCCACAAAAATGGTGGTATATGTAAATGTCAAGAAACAATATGTGGAACATATATATCAGAAAATCAATCTTGAACTATGACGTTTTTTTATTGGGAACTATATGTATTGTATTCCACACACGCCTGAATCCAGACTGTGCCAAACAAATCATAGTAAAACAATCTTTATAGAAAGTGTTTATATGATGTACCAACGAGACATCTTCAAAGTGTAAAATGTTACTACAAGACTGGGTTGGTCCAACACCCAGCCTCACTCTAACTGGGGAAGTAATAGAGCAGGTGGATAAGTTTTGTTATTTCGGCAGCTACATCTCACCCGGTGGACGCATCACGGATGAAGTGTCAGCTCACATACAGAAGGCTCGGTTGGCATTTGCCAACTTGAGACATCTGTGGCGTCGTCGCGACATCCGGCTGTCTGTGAAGGGTCGAGTGTATGCCGCGACAGTTCGGCCAGTCCTGCCATACGGTGCAGAAACTTGGCCATTAAGAAAACAGGATAAAGACAGACTGTCGGTATTTGAACACCGCTGTCTATGCAGCCTTGCACGAATCTGGTGGGGTAGCCGGGTGAGCAATGAGCAATGCTGAGGTTATGGGCAGAGTTTTGGGTAAATAAAGTCGCCCTCTGGAGCAAGTTGTCGACCTCCATAGATTACGTTGGCTGGGACATGTGTTACGCATGTCACCAGATAGGTTGCCAGGGCGAGCAATGTTCTCCGAAGCAGACACCGAGTGGAAAAAAGCCAAGGGTGGTCAAGCTAAGACCTGGCATGAGGGTATGAAAACCCTAACCAGGAGACTGGGTCACATAGGTCCCGTTAGGCTCCCTGGCTGGGGACCTCGGAATGATTGTAACCGATGGTTACAGGCATAAACAGTGGCGTTTGTACATCTCCTCAATTCCTTTGCAACCCTAAACCACTGAATTTCTCCATTTTCCTTTCGACTCCACTTTCAACTTTCCTTTCTTCTCCTATCCTTCATGCAAATCGGCAGCCAAAAGACAGCAACCAAAACCGGCGCACGAAAGTGCATGGCTAATAGTTGTTCAAACTGAACTGAACTTTTATTGGGCAATAGACAGTGTCATCAAAGCGCTCGACGGTGTGCTAGCATATCAAGATGACGTTCTCATTTTCGGCCTTAATAAGAAAGAGCACGATGTCCGTCTGACGCAGCTACTGGAACGATTTGCCGCCAGAAACGTGGCTATCAAGCCGTCCAAATGTGTGTTCGGAGTGAGTGCGTTTGAGTNACGGAGACCCCAATAGTAATAATAAAGGGGTTTTCGGGTATAAACGAAGACGATGCAGAAAAGTGATGAGGAAGTTGGGGAAAAGAACTAGAACTATAGAACCGGGTACAGTTCGGAATAAGCACTGGAAAGAAGTGCTCATTGGGGTGGGCAAATGCGTATGGATGGAATGCAANGAATGCAAAATCAAGTCACTTAAACGTTCGGTTATATATTAGCGCACTCCCAGTCGCAGAGCAGGATGATATATGGCACTTGTGGTTGGTTTATCTCTGACACTTACAGATATACACTGACGAATGTGGCACGCCTATACTTTCAAATGTGCTCTTGTCGATGGATTGGCTTAATTGTGGACGGCGTTTAGTCGATCCGTAGCACTGTGATTATGGTATTTCAGTGTCATCTCTGTGATCAGCTACAGTTCTTATGCCGTTCGTTATTAGTTACGTTATTTGGGGCATGTTCTCGGGTGATAGTTTCAAAAATCACACTTGCATATCTCTATTTCTGTTTTGGTTAATTGATATCCCACCCCCACTCGTCCGCAACCCTCGCTCATGCGTGAGCTTTCACCGCAGTATCACAACTTTTGCGTAAGCTAAGCTGCTTTTAATGCGGGCATCTTATTCCTATACCATTAACTGGGTCTGCTTGTCTATCGCGCATCGAAATTCACAGTGCACTGTTGACGTTCAACAATCACCAAGTGAGAGATAATTAAGACTCATCTACTTAGTTGTCTCAGTGAAATCTCTGTGGTGTTTTGTTCAGTTATCTTCCTAATAGACCAAATCCACCAATTTAAATCAATTTTGGCAGTGGCTTAATTTTACTGAGGATAAAGCCGTGCTTTCAAACCCTTTTCAATGGTTAATATGTAACAAACATATTTTGGCACTGCATAGAGAACCACTTTCCAGCAGAAACGTAAACGTACCACTGATATTGAAATATAGCCAACGGGTGAATAGAGGCTCTTTCGCAGGAATCGTACAAGACACGTTGATCAGACCGGAATCGTAATCGTTCTGGAACATGATGTGCGGATAAACAAACGGAAGTTCTTTGCAAGTGATGAACTGCGGGTCGTCCAACAGAATCGAACCGAAATACAGTTTCACCTCGAACGATTTCGTTTTCGCACTGGACCGGATCACGTGAACTTGGGATGATTCGGACAGATAAATTAACGGATTGTGTTCTTGTTCTAAAACAGAATGATGAAATGCGAACCGATCTTGGAACTTCAGTTGTGATATGACTGTCGAGGGTGGGCAGAAGATTGAAAATCAACTGCATAGAAAGATCACAGCATGCGTCATATGCATACATGGTCATAAATTGTGCTGCCTGACGATTATAACACATTTTACAAGATATCAACCAACAGGTTAGTTGATTTCCACTTTTTCCATAGTCGCACTTTTGTTCAATGTGGCTAAATCAGAGAAAAAATATCAACCTTGATGAGCTACAGTTATTTTATGATGAGGGTCTGGACACGGACGAACGGAATTCGTTTCTATAATGGATTAAAACAACCTTTTCCCGATATGAACTTGAATAAAGAACACTGTTGCACGATTTACCTCCGGAAAACATTTCACTATACCTCTTCATATACATAATCTGGTCGGATAAAAAGGAAAACTAAAAAGCTACATTGGCTAAACTGTTGGTTTTAAATTCGTTCATCATGCTACCTAGGCTGAGCTAGAGTTACAAATAACTTTCTTTGCTTGCACAGGTCAGATTTCCTTTGTTTGACAGCCAACACCTCTGCAAACTGGAGTTTTGTGTGATGAGGAAGGACACTTTTGAATGCCGTGGTCACGGTTACCTGAAGCTCAGTGTTTTAAAAGTGACGGGCGATGAATAACGCTGATGCGCGGCCTTGGGTTGACCTTTGACTTTGGCCATTCAGGCAGGATTTGTTTACCAGTTTATGAACACATACAAGGATTTGATCGGCTACTCTTTATCTATACTGCCACTTGGTTCTTCTAGGTAGGTGGGTAAGCTTCTTCAGACGAATAGATGCAATTAATGGAAATTGGCATACTTCAAAAGTGGTTGATTGACTGGAGCAACCGGTCCTCTACCGCATGTGTACACCATTTTAAGACTGACTTGAGAAACTATCATTCTGAATTGAGAAACAATCGCTGTGGTTGGATCCGCTTCCATTTGCGCATCTCACTGGTCAATTGACTACACGTTTTTTCTACCCTCAGATTGACCACTTGTCTTCCCACGCTCTTTCTGTGTTGAAATGAGGCATACCTCAGTCTTGCATCTTGTCGAGCTAGCTGATCGAACCCAAGAGGAAGAAAAATCGGGAGAGGAACAGGAGAGACCAACGTGTTTGAGCAAAAGAGTAGTTCCGGTAGAATAATTATAAGGAAGCAACTACTTGTAAATCATCATCATCATCGTATAGTGGCATACAGTGAAGATACCTTCGCTAACCACTGACAAGCTCACAATGTACGAAAATTAGGTGATAAAGTACAAGATGGAAGGGGATTGTGCCTGATTGGAGGTCGGAAAAGAAAGTGAACCTCTATGTTCAATACATAGACTACACAACCCAACTGCATATACATACCTTTTCAATCATTCTGATCTGATAAGAAAAGACAACAAGAACGCCAGTGCTGTCTGTTTGCTGTCATATCCTTCAATGTCTCCAACCAGCCAGTCAGTCTTTTGGACCACAATCTGGAAGACGAGAGACATTTTTCTAGCTAACCGCTCTGTATATTTCGTCATGCCTCGTTTCCACGTCATCTGTTGACCTCCATGTAGTTCTTGGGAGCACATGAGAGGGGGATTATGTAGGCGGATTCCGATTGCTTCCGTTGTGACCAGAATGCGACTCCGAATCCCCTCAGATCAACGGCTGGGAACTACGAAGATAGGCTGAAATGCCTTGACCACATTATGCACGTGGTTCGACTCCACTATGCGTGAAACGATTGCCCTGTTCACAGCCCTAATCACCTTATCGGTCCTGTACTTTCTGATCCTCAGCCTAATTATCATTGATCCATTTACCCCATTAAATTTTAACAACGGTTAAGAAACCACGAACTTGACTTCACACAAGTCTAATGCATCGGAATTGAATGTCCATTGTGTAGTGTAAAACATGTTTCTAGAAACGCTATTACGCTTGTGTTGTTTATCTATTTCTTCCTCAGCTTGTTATCACGCAGAAAATTTATTGTTTCCACCAGTGGTGAAAAGTGGAGGCACTCTTGAGGGAAGAGAGTTGTTGTGATCCAGACTTCCGTGATCGCAATCCATGCGCGACTAGGTACAGTTTCACGTCGTCCAATTAAAGTTCAGGATGCTCGACCAATGGTACACCGGGCGAATATGACATCCGAGTTAGTACATATAATGCGTCAGCACAAACCGTTACGTGATTAGAGGATGCTCGTTCAACCAATCATATGGCCTATTACATTCTCAAAAACACGCTCTAATTCCATCCATGCACATAAGCGTTTGCTGCTATCAATTCCTCGTGTATTTCATTGGTGTCCGCAGTTCGGGTTGGAGCCAATTCAGTTCTGAGCAGTACATTACGGGTTCTCGTATTCCTACATTCAGTACTATTCTGATCATC